AACAGCAACATGCACTCATTTTTTACTGTACAGAATAATGAATGTTTACACTACTGTGACCTAAGTACAGAGCAACTCTCATCCCTGGGGGCTCCCTTGCACTCCCTCCCAGATGGTCACCCCCCAGAGGTAGCCCCAGGTCTTACCTCTGTCACCTTGTCTCCATCTGACCTGTTTTATTTTTGTTAAAAAAACAAAACATGACAAACCAGCCCTTGTTGTGGTGGCTCAGTGGACTGAGCGCCAACCTGCAAACCAAAATGTCACTGGTTTGATTCCTCATCAGGGGACATGCCTGGGTTGTGAGCCAGGTCCCCAGCTGGGGGCATGCGAAAGGCAACCGATCAATCTTTCACTCACACATCAATGTTTTTCTCCCTCCTTTCTCCTCTCTAAAAATAAATAAACTCTTTAAAAATATTAAAAATAATAATAAATCAGCCTTAATGAGGCAAAACTTACTTCAATAATGCAACCATTTTAAGTGCTCGATGAGTTTTGACAGATGTAACCCCCTTTGTTGTTCCGTAATCAAGGAGTAGAACATTTCCATCACTTCAAGCCCCCATGCTTCTTTGTGGTCAATGACTTCCCTCCCTGATGATCCACACTAGGTGGCCCCGTCCCAACCTGTCAACATAGATTAGCATGGCCTGTCTGTGAACTTTCATAAATGGAATCACACAGTATGTCCTCTTCATGCCCGCTTCTTTCACTAAATGTTGGTGAGACCCACCTGTGGGGTGCATGTAGCACTGGTTTGTTTTTTCCTTGCTGCATAGTATTCCATCGTGTGAATATGGCATCTGTTCATCCATCAACCTGTTGGAGAACCCTTAGATGTTTCCAATTTAGGGCTGTTATGGTCATTTGTGTTCACCTCTTTGATAAAACCATGTCTTTCTTTCTGTTGGTAAAGACCTGTAGTAGGTTAAATGGGGTCACTACTTGCCTTATTTTATGTCTACTTGAACCTCAGAATGTGACCTTATTTGGAAATAGGATCTTTGTAGTCCTTGCCTTCGCTTGTCTTGGGCACATACCTCAGAATGGAATGGCTGGATCACAGGGTAGGTCCATAAGGAACTTTTGGAGAAACTGGCATGCATCTCCTTTTCTTGCTTACCATCTGACCTCCCCCTGGAATGTCAGTTCCCTAAAGGGCAGGGACTTTGTTTTCTTCTTGACTCAGAGCCCTGGACAGCATCTGGCACATTAAGTAAATACATGGTGCATGAATGAATCATTGGGACTCTTGGCTAGGCAAGAACTCTTAGGTACTCTGGATCTCAGTTTCCACATCTCTGAAACGGGAATGAACTCAATCACTCTCTCAGGAAGAATTAGTGCCCCTCCTCCAAAAAGGCTGAGTCAAATACTCAAATGTCCACAATAGGCTGCTAATTGTCCCTGAGAAAAGAATCGCCAGTTCCACATTCCTTCCTGGATGGTGAAGAAAGTCAAATACAGAGGGTGAGGGGTTCCTGCAGTCACACAGCAAGGGCTTTGGGCTCTGGGCCCTTAGGGAGTAGACTCAATGAGAGGCTGCGACAGAGGCAGCTCTTGAGGCCCCCACCTTAGCTGGGGTGCTGGAGGCAATGAGAGTCCACAGCCAGGCAGTGCCAGGACTGCTGCCTAGAGGTGAGCCACCCCAGGAGGACCTCATGGGAGGTGGGCAAAGCAGTCCCCAGTGATTTATTCCCATGGAAAGTGGGCTCTGGGCTAGCGGAGGAGCCCCAGAAACCAACCCCCATCACTATTAATAACGTAATGGCTGGTGTGGATGGAGTGCTGCCACAGGGCCTCTGGAGCCTCCAGGGACTCTTCCTCTGAGCCAGGGGTCCTGGTAGTCCCCCAGGCCCAAGGTCTCACATGTCTGGCAGAAGCCAGACTCAAATCATATCCACAGTCTTGAATGCTGATTTACAACCCCCAAAACCCAGTTTTCTCATCTGTAAAACTGGCAGAGGATTAAAATCAGGTGCTTAACAAATACATGTGCATGCATGTTCGTAGCACACTATTTACAATAGCCAAAGGGAAGAAACAACCCAAGTGTCCTTCAACGGATCAATGAATGAACAAAATGTGGTCCATCCATACAATGGAATAGTAGTTATAAAAAGGAGTGAAGCACTGATACACGCTATAATGTGGATGAACCTCATAAATATTATGTTGAATAAAATAAGCCAGACCCAGTAGGACACATATATTATTCCATTTATATGAAACATTCAGAATAGGTAAACCCATAGGGACACAAAGCAGATCAGTGGTTGCCAGGTACTGGGGGAGTGGGAATGGAGAGTGAGTGCTAATGGGGAGAGGGTCTCCTTTTGGGATGATAGAATGTTTTGAAACTACATGGAAGTGATGGTTGCATGATATCGTGAATGCACTAAATGCCATTGAATTGTACACTTTAAAATGGTAAATTTTATGGTATGAGAATTATATCACAATGTAAAAAAGGAAAACTCAAATAAGGAGTTTGTTAGGCAGAAAATCAAGTAGTGCTGGAGGGCAGAGGGTGGGTATGGGAGAAGGGGAGTGCTGTCAGCTGCCATGGGCTACTAATGGAGCTGCCCTGAGCACAAGTGCGTTGTTTATTTCATCCTGACCTCTGCCCAGGGTCATTTTAAAGATGGAGAAACTGAGGCATAAAGGGCTGGAGTAAACTGTCCAAAACCTCATGGCTCGTAAGAAGTGGATGCAGAATTCAGTGTGATAATAGTATTTATCAGATGTTGACCTATCTAGTTTATACAGAAGCAAAAGTGGGCACTAGGAGCATCTGCAGCTCACTCTAAGGCTGCTCAATGACAAAGGGCAGACAGGTAGAGGAGGCCCTGGCATGAGGCTACAGGAAACAAGGCATCCCCTGCCCCTGCCCCAAGCCTCAATTTCCTCTTCTGCAACACCTGGGGGTTACAAGGAGGCTTCTGAGCTCTGACCTGGGGCCGCAAGTCCCACAGCTGGTTCAGAACAGGGGAGCAGGTGGCAAGGCCCCTGCCTCTGGGAGAGCCACGCCAGCTGTTGTCCAGATGGTGGCTAGACCTCAGGACTCTGCCTGCTGTGTTTCTGCTTGTGGGGTCTGCCAGACCACAGGTCATTGTTATTGGGTGAGGGTCTGCAGTAATCTTCTTTGGCCCTCCAGGTCCTCCATCTGCTGGTACCTCATCCCAGATATAGCAGGCAATTGGGCTAGGCGAAGAACCCTGGCCTCCTTCTGCCTCACTCCCACACCCATCTGTTGCATCTCCTATTGGCACTACCTGCAAAGTATCTCCTGGCTAGGAGTACTTTCCACCCTTCCCCTGCCATGCCACCACCCTCAAATGAGCTCCATCATTTGTCCTAAGTATTGTCCCTTATTCAAGATATTTCCCCTGACTGTCATGTTGGTTACATCTCTTCTGCCAACAACCCCCCTCTCCTCTTTTTACGTAGGGAAAATGCCTCCATAGTGGTCCATGGGGCCCTTCATGACCTAGAGCACCCCTCATTGATACCTATCCTGTCCCTCACTTTTCTCTGCCAGGCAACACTCCAGGTACACTCTCACACCGGGTTCTTTGCACTGGCTTTCCTGTGATGTGTGATCTTGGAGTACCTAGTATGTTCACAGCACCATGCATCTGCAGCGTGCTATGCGTATGCATACAGCCAGGGGCCCAGTGATCTTGAGCTGTGTGTCTGTGTGTCTGACATGTGGGTTGAATCTGGGTGTTTATTAAGTGTGTGTGCATATGGATGCCATTGACTGCAGCCACGTGTTTGACGGGTGTGTGAGCTGTAGGTCTCAGCCGAGCAGGGTTTGATGCCGGCATGTGGTTCATCTGGAACAAAGGCTTGAGTGGTGGCTGATTACAGGCAGGAGAGAGTGAGTGTGCAGAGCTTGTTGGGAATGCATGTATCCCATGCGTGTATGCATTCAGCATTTATTGAGTGCTTATTGTGTGCTGGAGAGGTCAGTAGGGCCCTTCAGCACCTGGTATCTGTCAGCTTGCAGTGTCTACTCCTGAGTATTTTTACACAAACGAATGGGCACCTATTATAAGCCTGATCCTCTACTGGACATGGATCAGTTGGGTCTCATTCTACCTGCAGGAGCACACTTAGGAGGTCCTTTGCTTCCTCCTCTGGAGTCTCCAGCTCATGTTCACCCCCTTCTAGGAGAGCTGACTGCACAGAGGTCTCTGAGCCCCATATGGACCCCTGGGCCTTTCTTGAGGCCCTATAAAGGAAGGTTTTTCGATTTAGGGGGTGAAAAACTAAATGGGCTCAGGGCTGCAGAGAAGTCCTGGGATCCTGAACCCACCCAGGGCTGAGGTTCTAGGCTTTCGGAGAAGTTGGGGTGGGGGTGCACTGGAAAGCTCTGGGAGCTTACGGAGGCCCTGTTGGCTCAAACACGGGCTGGAAGTTTGAGGCCTGGGCACAGGATGAGAGTTCCCCATCTGAGGGAGGTCTTGAAGAGGGAGTGACTCTGGGAGGGGAGGAATGGTTCTCAGAGCTCAGAGGACTATTTCCCCATGCCTTACCTTCCATCAAGTCTCCGTCCCTTCCCTTTTCCAGAGCAGAACCCTCCCCAGACTTGCTGCACCTCACCTTCCCGCCAACCCTCACCCTTAGCCCCCTTCCTGTACCCTTCCATCCGCAGCTCTCCGATCCCACCCTTGCCTCTTGCCTCTACAATGGCCACGCCCTTGTACCCCACCCTGCAACCTCTTTCTAGGTCGCGCCCTATCCCAGTCTAGGCCCCGCCCCTCTATAGACCGAGCCTTGCCCCAAGTCCCAATACCGTCAATCTTCCGCCTTTGCCAGGTCTTCAACAAGATCACACCCCTCGCCAGAAGCCCTGCCCCTCCTCTACTCTGGAGAGCTGGCCCCATCCTCGCCCGCCCCGCCCATCATCAGACCCCGCCCTCTCCCCGAGAGGCCACGCCCTCTCCTCACGTCTGGCCCCTAGTATTTATTGCCCAGGCCCTTCAGTCGCGGAGCACGCCCCGCCCCCGTCCCCCAACTCTCGGTCTCCTGGACTGGCGTGAGGCTCCCGTCTCTCGAACGCACGGCGGCAGCGGCGGCAGCGGGAAGATGGCGGAGTCCGGCGGCGGCGGCAGTGGTGTTGGCTTCGGCGCGGGCCCCGGCCCGGAGCGCCCTAGCAGGTGAGACCTGGCCTGCAGTGGGCTCGCACCTGTCTTAGGACCCCGGTGACCTATGGGGAGTGCTGGGGGTCTGAGGGGCCGGGAAGCGTACTGGGCCTGCCCAAGGGTTTTTCCGGGGACTGCAGGTAGGTGCTGATGAACGGACAGCTGAAGGAGGGCTGGGCGCCCCAAAACCTCGAGGTGTCTACATGCGGCCCTAGGGGCATGAGGGGGCGTGGGAGGGCTTGGAGGTCTGAAGGGAAACCCAGGGGCTCCTGATTGGGAACTGGGAATGCCAAGGGGTCTGGGAGGCAGAAAGGGCCTGAACAGAGACCATGGGCAGTCTTGAGGTTGTTAAGGCTGTTTTCGGTGGGACTCTGAAGGGGGGGACTGAAGGGAGCTTGCTGATACGGAGGCCCAAGGCTTCCTAGAGGGTGCTAAAGGACCCTGAGGATTCTAAAGGTGGTCCTGAGGGTATGCTGAAGGGACCTGAGATTGGTGAGGACTGTAGAAGCTGGGGGGGGGGATTGTTGGGGGCACAAGTGAACCTAAGGACGTGAAAGAGGCCTAAGGGGCCTGGGAAAACCTGAGAGGGGAGGCTGAGGGGTCCTGGGGGTCCTAGTGAATCTTGATGGGCAAGAAAGGGCCTGGAGTCCCAGGGGTTCTGAGGGGCTGGAGTGGGTCTTGGGGAACCTGAGGATGGTGAGAGAACCCTGAAGATCCAACACACACACACACACACACACACACACACACACAGTGTCCATCCTTGGAGTGCCTCTTTCCCATCCCAATGGGATTTAAATCTCCCCCTTCCCCAGGTCAAAGGACTTGAAGCAATGCCTTGCCCTCAGAGCAAGGGGCAGAATTCATTTTCTCCTGTTAGAGGGAGGTCCCCTTTCCCTTTGGCCAAATCCTGAGACTGGGTGCTTGAACCCCCGGTTTGGCATAAAACTTGATGTTTACATGCCTTGTTCTGGGCTCTCGGGAAGAACACCAACCTTAGGGAGCTTGATCTCCTTCCTCTTTACGTTGCACAGAGTCAGGGGGGCCCAGACCTCCCCACCCCTGTTCCCCAGGACAACTGGCCACCCTTGGTTTACCAAGGACAAAATTCAGGCTCTTTCTCGCTGGTGAGCTTAAGGGAGCAAATCATTTCAGTTAAAGTGATGAATGATGAAGTTAGTACTCATGTGCGGTGGTGTCATTTATCATTGTGGGGACCTAGGCTGGTGCTGGCTGGAAAGGCCTGATGACCCAGGTACATGAGTTGGGCTTTGGAGGCCTCCAGTGGGCAACATTAGAGATACAGAGGATTTGGGAAGAGATTCAGGAGGTAGCTGGGCAGGGCTTGGTGACCAGGAATAAGGTGGCATGTCAGGAACAGACAAGAGGGGAGAGTGAATCCTAGGTGTCTGCCTTGGGCCTTAGGGTGGGACAACCTGGGGCAAGGGTAAGGTATAATTAATTATATACCATACTGTTCCTTGAGTTTTAATAAATTTGTAAGGGGGTAATAAATGATGGTAGAAGGAGACTTGACTTGGTGAACACACAATACAGTATAGAGGTGATGTATTACAGAATTGTACACCCAAGCCCTGGCTGGTGTGGCTTGAGGGCCAGCTTGCGAACCAAATGGTCGCCAGTTCGATACCCAGTCAGGGCACATGCCTGGTTTGTGGGCCAGGTCCTCAGTGGAGGTGTGTGAGAGGCAACCACACATTGATGTTTCTCTCCCTCTCTTTCTCCCTCCCTTCCCCTCACTCTAAAAATAAATAAATAAAATCTTTTTTGAAAAAAGAATTGTACACTGAAACTGATAGAATTTTATTAGCCAGTGTCACCCTAATAAATTCAATAAAAATAAATTTATAGAATATGAGCATATACCCATTAACCCAATCCAGTTTTCCATCTTTTATTCTTTTTTTGATCCCCACCCGAGAATATGTTTATTGATTTTAGAGAGAGAGAGAAGTGGGGCAGGGAGAAAGAGAGAGAGAAAAAAAAACATCAACTGATTGCCTCTCATAGGCTTCCTGACCAGGAATCAAACTCATAACCTAGGTATGTGCGCTGACTGGGAATCGAACCTGTGACCTTTTGGTGTATGGACAGTGCTCCAACCAACTTAGCCACCTGTCCAGGGGTCCTTTTTGTAAAAAAAAAAATTATTGATTCGTAGAGAGAGGGAGTAAGGAGAGGGGGAGAGAGGGAGAGACAGACATTAATTTGTTATTCCAGTTATTTATGCATTCATTGGTTGGTTCTTATATGTGCCCTAACTGGGAATCCAACCCACAAGCTTGGTGTATTGAGACGATACTCTAACCAACGAGCTACCCAGCCAGGGCAGCCAGTTTTTAATTTTAGCAATTCTAGGTGTATGCTGGTATCTTGTTTTGGTTTTAATTTGCATCTCCCCAATAACTAATGATGTTGGACAGTTTTTCATGGTTTCATTATCTATTCATATTTTTGGTAAAGTGTCTTTTCAAATTTTGGGGCTAATTTTTAGTTGAGTTGTCTTCTTATTGACTTTTAATAATTTAATAAAGTCTCCTGGCTGGCATAGCTCAGTGGATTGAGTGCGGGCTGCGAACCAAAGCATCACAGGTTCGATTCCCAGTCAGGGCACATACTTGAGGTGCAGGCCACGGCTCCCAGCAACCGCACATTGATGTTTCTCTCTCTCTGTCTTTCTCCCTCCCTTCCCTCTCTAAAAATAAATAAATAAAATATTTAAAAAAGGGAATATAGGAAAAAAAGAATTTAATAAAGTCTCTTAAAAGACTTTATGTATTCTGGTTATAAGTTCTTTGTCAGATATATGATTTGCAAATATTTTTTCCTAGTCTGCAACTTGTCTTTTCATTTTCTTAATTTATCTTTTAAAGATAAATTAAATTATTATTTTGATGAAAATGTAATTTATCAATGTTCTGTTTTTAAATTTTTTTTAGATTTTATTTATTTATTTTTAGAGAGAAAGGAAGGGAGGGAGAAAGAGGGGAAGTGAAACATCAATGTGTGGTTGCCTCTTGCACACTCTCTGCTGGGGACATGGTCTGCAACCCAGATATGTGCCCTGACTGGGAATCGAACCGACAATTCTTTGGTTCACAGACCCGTGCTCAATCTATTAAGCTATACCAGCCAGGGATTCAATGTTCTTCTTTTATGAATTATGCTTTTAATGTCATACCTAAGAAATATTTTCTAAATGGAAGGACTTTCTTAAAAGACATCTCCACCATCCCTGAGATGCCCATGTACCCCCTTCCATCCATCCCAGTGAAAAATCACTGTTGTCTGGAGCAAATGATGGTGGGTGTATGTGAGTGTGTGTGTGTGTTGTATGTGTCTTATTTCTGTGGTGCTAGTGTAGGGAGGAGGGTAAGAAACCCTAATATGGTGAGAGGAGCATACAGAAAGAGGACCCGATTTTGAAGGAGATTGTGGCACACAATAGCCTCCCAAGGGCCTTTTGAAACATAGAGGCTTTTGAAGCATTGTTTATTTATTCTTTCCTTCATTTCTTCCAAATGGGCCAGACTGGCCTGTTGAATGACTTGCCCATGCCTTAGTCATCTTTGTCCTTCTACACTCCAAGATCATGGCCTCTCAGAGCCACCTGCCTGATTACCTGCATTCAGCTAGCCCCAGGAACACTTCAGTCACCTCATGTGTGTGTGTGGTAGGGTTTTTTTTTTTTTTGTAAAATTTATATGACATAAAACTCATTCATGTAAAATGTACAATTCAAAAATAAAGAGAATGAAATGTACAATTCAGTGGTGTATAGCACATTCACAATGTTGTTTGCGTCCATCACCTCTCTATAATTTCAGAACATTTCTATAACCCTAAGCAGAAATCCTGTTTCCATTAGCAGCCACTCACCATTCCCCTTCTATCCCAGCCCCTAACAACTACTCCTCTATTTTCTGTCTCTATTAAGTTACCTGTTTCATGAATAGAATCATACAATGTGGAATTTTTTTATGACTGGCTTCTTTCACTCCATGTAATGTTTTCAAGCTTCATCTATATTGTAGTGTATATCAGTACTTCATTCCTTTTTATGGTTGCATAATATTCTGTCAGACCACATTTTGTTAATCCATTCACTAGCTGATGACACTGGGGTTGGTTCCACCTTTTGGCTATTTTGGATAATGCTGCCATGAATGTGTGTGTATAAGCTTTCACCTGAACCCCTGTGTTCAGTTCTTTGGGCTCTACTCCAGGGCCAGAATTGCTGCATCATAAGGCTGTTGTTTATCCTTGACCATGTTATCAACACCCAAACTACTTGGTGTGTTTATGCGTGTAAATGCCTTGAGGGTGGAGAGCATGTCTTGTGTACCTGGAGCAGAGGCCACGCAGAGGAAGTTAAGTGTTCAAGAAGTATGGACAGGAGAAAAGGAGGGATGGGTAAGGTGTGGGAAAACTCTCTAGGGCTTGCAGTCTGGCAAGGGGGAAGTCACATCTATGGATGGGGTGGTCCTTTGCCTTCTTGGGGAGACTTGTGGGAGTGCTGCAGACTGGGGTTGGCTGACCTTGCCTGGGAGGCGGGTTTTCCAGCCTGCTAGGAGGTGTCTGCATCTGCCTTTTTTGTCCCATGAAGGGTTTGCCATTTGGCCTGGTGGGGGGGCAGTTCCTATCTTTCCCTTGGCCCTTCCAGCAGCCCACAACGTGAGAAATGGTTCTCAAGGGACTGTGCTCCCCCACCCCAACCACCTCTGGTATTATATAACTGGTTTGTTCCCATTTCTCTCTTCTGCAACCAAGGGGGGAAAGTGAAAAAGAAAAGCTTATTCTCTTTCCTTCCTATCTCGAGGGATCAACAAAAAACCCATTGCCTAGTAGAGATGGTCATTAATGACCGAGCGGAACCTCTGGGATAGAGGGAGATGGCAGCCTCAGCCGGGACTTGAGGAGGGGGGTGGGGCCTGGCTGCAGGCTCAGCCATACAAAAGACATTTGTCCTCCAGCAGGTCCCCTCCTAGCTCCAC